CCACCGCCAGGTGGTGTTGTCGGTGATAGCGCCTCCCACGAAGAGGGCCGAGAACACTAGAGATGGCGAAGACGGAGGTAACAATGGCGATGTATGTTGCGTACTTGGACGGCGGCACCATCAGCGGAACCATAATTGTGGAGAGTGAATAGATACCAGAGCCTCCCATGCCCTGAAGAGCTCTGAAAACAATCCTGTCATGGACCCAGACGAGATTAGTATCTTTTTGGAATCGTATTTCGCGCCCATCAGGCCATGAAGGTAGTGCTATAAAGTGAAGCAGAATCTAGTGACATACAATGGCAGCATTGACTCGGAAGCACCGCAGGCAATGGAAAAAATGGTGAAAAGAGTGATGCCAGAGACAAGCATCAACTTGCAGCCGAGAATGTCACTTAGTTTTGCAAAGATGATCAGGAAGCCTAAAGGTAAAATCAATGTGGTCAATAGTGAACTGGCGCGACGAAACATCAAGCAACGCATACGGGACAACGAACCAGTATATGTCAACAGATAGGAGGTCACAATCCAGCTGGCCCTATCGAAACCTTGCAGGTGGTCGACGATGGACACCAGGGAGGTACTCACAATGGTGGTCTCCAGGGTCGAGAGCAGCAAGCTGAGGCATAGTCTGTTGAGGTATGGCGGTGGTCAGCGAGAATACACGTATGCCTAGCTTGTCAAGTTGGTAGGCTGCTGCTGTGCAGAAGCGGAGGGATTTACCCTGCTGTCAAGGCATGGAGTCTCCATCCAGTATGATAGACCTTTTGTCGAGTCTGAGTGACCACGTCGAGGGGCCGGATATCTGCCGGCGTGGTGTTTGTTGCTGCCTCTGGACGGGACAAGGCGCCGCTGCCATTGTGGACAGCGTCTTTGTCCCCCTGACCGAGGTCGACATCAGGTTCTGGGTCTCTGGGGAAGGGAGAAGGTGTTTTGGGCTCGCCAGAAGATGGAGAAGCATCCATTGGAAGACGAGGAGTGAGTGACGAATCCAGGACTTGACAAAAGGGGAAAGGAGCGAGGAAAGGTGACACAACGAAGAAAGATCGAGGTCCTTGACCAACAAGTCGAATGGAACTCGGAAGGGGAACTGGCTTAGAGTCTGACTGCAAGGTCGACCGGGCCCTTGAACGAAAAAAAAAACGGGCGGTAAGTGTCGCGACACGAACAGCGTGGTTTGGATAGGCGGATGTTCGGGGGGCTTCAAAATGAGGCGTGTGAATGTTGAATGTGTATGTCGAGCCGGCGAGTGCCTGAATAGATGGTTATCGAGACAAAAGACGAGGCAACCAACTGGCAATGCTGGGAGATGGACACCCAGGTGTCGACGTACAAAGGGGGTGATTGCCAACTGCCAATGCTTGCTCACACCCATGCCGAATGGCCCATATGACCATTTCCACCGGGCCAATGCAGTGTAACAGCCAACAGCCTATGGCTGACGTGCGTGTCGAACGATGAGAGGCAGCAATACAGCCTCAACACCAGCACGCCATGCGCATCTTGGAGATCCCGTCTTCACCTGGATGAGGCACGTCTCCCTCGTCCTTTGATGCATGGAGGCTTCCGGTCCAGGATCCTCCTGCCTTGGTCCAGACAGCAACTGGCAACGGCAAGGGCAAGAGCAAGACATCTGTGGTGGGCCGGAACAAATTCTCCGGGAGAAACTGCTATGCTGCTTGGTGCATTCAAGCATCTCGGCTGCTTCTCTCCTTCAAGGTTGGATGTCTCGCAAACACCTTCACGAAATTGGGCGGCGGCTGCTTCCCCCCACGGATCATGGAACATGATCGGCCGCACATGATAGGGGCTTCAGAAATACTTGAGTCTACGTTCTTCGAGGTACTTAAAAATAATCGGGGCTCCTGGAGAATTCGGCCATTCGGATGCGATCACGCCCTGGGCCGCACCTGCGTTCCGTCCGGTACTTAGTTGGTCGTAGCTACCTCACCTGCCCCATCTATGGGTACCTGAGGAAGCTGCAGCCCAAGGGCCAGGGCGCCTTCTACAAGGCAGGGGTCATCCCGAACCTCACCCAACTTCGCGCCGCAACCTCATGCCTTGTCGTCCATCACACATCATACAACAACCACCCTATCAGCCATCACCCACCACCACCAACATGTTCTTATGTGACACCTCAATCAATCACAGAAGATCCATCCCGGGTGATCCTCCAGCCACGGCGTTGAAACAGAGTCAACATCAAAGGATGCATCAAGCCGCGGCAGACGGGCCGAATTGATACCGCCGATGTCGATGTCGACGGCGACGGAAACTCACAAGCCTCGAGCCACTGGCCTCGAACCACTGGCCGAAAACAAATCACGCGTTGTCTAGATTCTTTCTCGATACTCCATCAACGTGACATTGCGTCTGACTGCATCGCCAGGATTCATCTCCTTCGATGGCATCCCGGTCACAGACGCTCTCGCCGCCCGCCCTCGTCCGCACCATTCACACCAGCCCGCCCGTTGATCAGTGCGATGTCCGCCCGCAATGACGATACCGCATCCTCCAGCCCAGCCGCCGCTTGTGCCTCCTCAACCAGGGCCACGATTCTCTCCATGGCGAAGAAGACGGTGTCGATTTTGCCAGATAGCACCGACAGCATCCGCCCCCGACGCACCACCTGGCAGCTGCGGTCATCCCACGCCCCGCAAGGCTTGGTCTTGATGGCCAGCTGAGGACCGACGTAGCGGAAGGTTTTGGCGAACGAGGGCATGTATCGCGCCACCTGCTCCTCCATGAGTGCTCTCTTGGCTGCGATGACTTCGGGCGCTCCCGCCACCCTGTCGCGCGCCGCCCTCGCTTCGTGGGGGCACAAGAACTGACCCAGCGGCGTGTGCGGCACACTCGATAGCGTGAAGAGGCCCGGCTCTTCTGTTGGGTACACCGAGCACAACGGGCCGTCGACGAGCGTGACAGCCGGGAAATCCACGGGGCCCTCGTAGTACAGCAGCAGCGTCGGCTCGTACACGACCTCGATCCCCGGCGGCCTCGCGAGGTGTCCCCATGTCGCATCAACCCCGTAGTCGAACCGCTCTCCGTCAATGAAGACTCCGGCTCCCGTGTCCACGATGCTCGACACGGCCTGTCCTAACGCGAGCACCCCCGCCAGCTCAGCCGCAAAGTGCGCCCCTCGCCTTGGCCAACAGCAGCACCCTCTCCCCCCGTACGCACAACACCTGCCACGTTTGGCGAGCTCAACTCCCATGGGCGCCCCCTCCGTGAACTCCACGCCGCTCGATGCCATGACCGCGCGATAGGTCCCATAGTCTAGAAGCGACTCCCGCGATGCCACGGCGTATGTGTTGCATGGTACGCTGCGACTAAGGCCCGGGTACCGCTCGAGGAACCGCAGAAACCCGTCGCGAGACTGAATCCGTGTGTCGCTGTGTCGCGCATAGTGAAAGCCCATGTGCAGTCGAAACTGATTGTTACCAGACGCTTCATGCAGGAGCCGCGTATGTTGCTCAAAGACTTTCACCTCGAAGCCGAGGGCTCGGAGGGATGTCGCGATGTGGCAGCCGTAGAAGCCGCCTCCGATGATGCCGAAGCTCAGGGGTTCCGTCGAGATGAGCGCCACCATGATAGATATGGTGCCCTGGCCATAGTCAGTACAAGGCTAATTTGTGAGGCGGGGGAGGTGTGCTCTGACGACTCCTTTTCCTGGCTGGGAGATGAGGTCAATGGTGGTACCGGAGTTACGCAGTGAAGTTCTCTGCATATTCGAACAGGACAGTCCAGGAGGCATACAGAAAGCCCACGTCGGGCAGGTAGACGAAGGACGAGGTCTCCGGTGGAACAAAAGCTGCCAAGGGGCGACATAAAGCCGAGCCTGAAGTGATGTAGGCGTCCTACCATGCTGCATACTAATGAGTAGGGCATGTCGTGTGTCTATTTATAATCCCTTACACCTCCGCCGTCCTGTCGCCAACCCAACTCACCCGTACATTACTTATCCAAGCAGAGCATCTACGAACAATTATCCGTTCTCTGCGTCTATTTGCTCCCAAGTCATTCATCCTTTATCATCAACATGCGTATCCTTTGTCTCCACGGCATGGGCACCAATAGCAAGGTAAGTTTGTTTCTCTCGTCGACTTCCATCGCCCTTCTCGAGGTTTCGACGCTCATGTAGCCTCAGGTGTTCCAGATGCAGACAAGTGAGTGCTGCCTTGTTCACTCTTCGCTCCAATTTTCCCACTAAAATTAAGCCTACGTGAGCAGCCGCTCTGAGACATCAACTCGGTCATCCACAAGCCCATCATTTTGAATTCATTGACGGCGGCGAGCCTTGCGACCTGGCGCCCGGCATCGAGACCTTTATCTCTGCCGAGGAGGCCCTCGCCTACTACGACCCAAAATCAGCCCCCAGCATCCTCGCCGCCATTGATGATCTCTCTTCCTGGCTCGCCGAGAATGGGCCCTTTGATGGCGTGATGGGTTTCTCCCAAGGCGCTTCCCTTGCTGCGATGGTCATGGCCCGCGCCCGTTTCGCTAACCCTCCGCTCTTCTCCTTTGGCGTCTTCTTCTGCGCCGGCCTGCCATACTGCGAGGACGGCCTGCGCGCCGGCGAGGTCAAGTTCCTGCGCGCCGCTGACGGTGTTGGGCCCATGATCCATGTGCCTACAGCGCACATTGTCGGACGCGAAGATCCGGACGTCGCTCATGGCACGGGCCTAGCTGAGCTGTGTCAGGAGTGGGGAAGGGTTCTGCTTGATCATGGTGCGGGGCATGAAATTCCCATGGCTCCTGTGGAGGTTACGAAGAACATGGCGAGCGTGGTTGCGCAGGTCATGCGCAAGTCTACTTTTGGACAGTGATGGCTATGACTTGGTAATCGGGGCAATTGGAGACTTGAAACAACTTTGACAATCCTTCAATCTGGTGAATAACATCCGCAATGACCAGCTTATGTAAACAGGTCACGACGTCTAAATATCTTCTCACAAGTTGCTAACCCGGTAAATCATGTAAATAAATCCCCCCAGCAGACCAGCCGAGCTGCAAAGCAACAGGCCAATATCGACGTTGTTCAGTTTCACCCATGACATGCGCACATCGGCCGTCTGCAGATGCATCGGGCGCAGCTCTCGACCGCGTGGGTAGAAATCCGCATCCTTGACATACAGAGGCGACGAGGTACCGTCCTCCATCTCGACACCACGCGGCTCACGTCCCAGCAGCTGGTGCTCGAACCGGCCGTCCCAGTCGTATAGGTGCTCCTCGATGAGGTCGGCCGCCAGAAATCTCCTACGAGATGCCACGGCCGCGATTTTGTGGAGGCGAGCCGACTCCCTCTCGAAATCGTCCCTCTCGCTGACAATGATACGTGTTACGCCCTCAGTCAGCTGAGCGGCTGTGAAATCTTTCTTCTGCAGCCGGACAGCGACACCCGCGGCCTCGAGCCGGAGGGCGTTGTTCATCTGATCGCCAAAGACGCCCATGGCGATCATGGGCACGCCGTGAAAGACGGACTCGTTGGCAGACGATGGGCCGGCGTGGGTCAGAAAGACGGCCGTCGAGCCGTGCGCGAGAATGGCGCGCTGCGGCGCCCACGTGCAGCTGAGCCAGGCTGGGTGCTCGTTGGCCAGCATGCTGGCGACGGTCATGCGGCGGTCGCCGACGGCGGACGAGGACGACGACAGCCGCTCCGACTCGATGCGGCGGCGGGCCACGGCACTCAGGGACCAGACTATGCCGTCAATGACACCGGCAGCGAGGGCCGCGTCGAGACCGCGCATGATCTTGTCGACCTGCGCGCTGTCGAGGATCACATGCGTGCCAAAGGCGACATAGCAGATGCGCTTGCGGGCGGCGAAGAAGGACGCAAACGGTTCCCCCATGGCCGGCCACGACTCGGAGAGAATAGGCCCCACGGCGTGGACCAGCGGCGGGGTGTCGCGCGGCACCTCGATGCCGTAGTACGAGTTGGTGAGCACGAGATGGTCTGGCTTGGGCTGCTTCTGCCGCGGTGGCACGCCCTCCTTCTTGCGCATGGACCGTACGAAGAAGAGCCAGCGCAAAAAGTAGGGCGCCGACCGTAGCAGAAAGGTCATCTCGAAGAGCCGGTCCGTCAGGGAGGCCTTCTCGCTCGTCAGGCAGCGCTGCTGCATGCCTGACTGGCCGGGAATGTACTTTTGCGGCATCACCAACCACGGCATCTGCGGCCACATGACGGCCAGAGGGAGCCGAAAGTCCGAGGCCACATCCACGGCAGCTTCGACGTGGTAGTCGGCAAAGATAAAGTCGGGCCTGGTCTTCCTCACGACGTCTCCGAGCCGCCGGTATGTTTCGGGCCAGAAGGCGTCAAACGCAATCTTGCCGTCGACGATGTCCCGCTTGCCGGCTGCCGTGTCCCAGTCCCATGTGGAGAAGCGTCGGTAGTGCACTTCCTCATCGGCGGCCGAGATGGCAGGCCCTACTATGTGGACGGCAGACACGAACGGGTACGGGTCGGCGAACTTTTGTCGCCCTTCAAGTGTTGCGAACTCAATAGTATGGCCTCTAGAGGCGAGTATCACGCACACTTCAAGCATAGGGGCTGCAGACAGAAATACAAGTCAGTTTCAGTTATCAAATTGTCTTTTTTGATGGTGTTTTCCTTTTGACTCCTGACATACCAGAGTTTGTAGAGCCCCCTACCGTCACGACGACGAGAACTTTTGCCTTGGGAAGAGTATCCATGGCGGGATGATCCTACGGGATGGAGTCTGTCAACTTGGTTGAAGTCTTTCTCAGTCTCCCTTGGTTCGTTCAACGCTTCAAAAATCGAGATATCTGTCAGCAGTCTGTGTTGCACACCATGCTGAGCAAACTAGCCAGTGTAGATAGGTAGGTGCCTGAGTTCGTTGCTTCACTGGCAGTGGCTGAAGTCAAGCGTTCATGTGAGCCCCTTTCCCGGTCATACAGAATCACCTCTCATTAGGGACTTCTGTCGTGGAGGGACGGGATGGAGTTGACACGAGGAAAGCCAACGCATGTGGCACAACGTGCCAAGCTGGCCTCGCTGTGCTAGTAGCATTCGATTCATCTCCTCACAGGCATATTTTGACATTACGACCTACCTGAACTGGGCATGATGTTCACGTAGGGTACTGGATATAACCTCTTCAGCAAATCATCAGGAGCTTATCACACGTGGTGCATAACATTGGAAAAGTGTTGGGGAGTGGAACTCCGCTGATGCAACACTCCTAAACTTGAAGCGAGTTCCACGCAATCAGTTCGTATAACCACATCGAAGCCCTTTGGTGTAGACTATGACACGTACCCTGCGCCGTCCCATCCTTGTCTACTCCTACCCCGGCCTGGACAATGCCGAGACTATGGCGGCGAACATGGCGTGACCGTTCAAAGACCTTGGAGTTCGTCGCTTCCGAATCGGGCGGTCCCGTGGGGGTCGCGTCAGGGCGCTTCTCGAATGCACGGGGAAGCTGTCGTCAGCCTTGGCGGAAATGACCCTTGACTTATCTTTCGGTGCGGTCTGCTGAGGGCGACATGCCAAGTCTCACGAATCGATCGACTAGTGGCGGGTGGATCAGCGTTTTGACGTCTCTACAGATCCTCCGGGGCAGACAGCCTGCATAAGCGGCCGGCCGGGAGGATCCTGCCGGCCACGGGCACAGGAACAGGCGCCGGAGGGATTCGAAGGGTGGAACGGCACATGCAAGAGACACGACGAACCCATTGGGTCGCCAGTAACTTTTATCCGCCGGCTGATTTGTGACGTTGCAATCGTCTTGATAGGACGAGATTGTGCTTACGCATCGCCAGAGGTGACACGGCCCTTCCATGCATTGCATGAGCCTCTGGCACCTGCAACATGGCATCTCTACTCTGTATGCCTTGCTTGGCACCTCTTGGCACCAGCATTGCCGCCTGATGGGTGTCGGCGTAGCGGTCGCGTATGATCCAATGAATGCGCCACATGGCTGAGAAATGATGATAACGGCAAAAGTATGAACTACTCTCAGCCGATGGGCAAAGAAGAACGGCTCCTATCTCGTGTAGATATGGTATGCAGGCACAGCACTCGATCAGTAAGCGCGCCCGCTTCCTGCTGAAGACGTCGGCTCACCGGTCTCAAGTTGTGGGGTGGAAGCAACACAGCCGATTACTAGAAAGCGAAGGGTACTTAGCTCGTTGTTTCTGTAAGTACTGAATTATGTAGTACTACGTTGGGTTCATCACACGGGTAGTGTCGCTGCATTTTGACGGGTCGGCGTGAATAGACTTGCATGTCACAAGTTGTATCGAGAAGACACTCAAAAACCATCAGAGATTGAATTTGGCTACAGGTTGGCTGTGCTGTTAGTGTAGGAGTTGAAAGCGCGTGAAGGAGGGAAGGAGTGATGCAAAGCCTTTGACAAGACATTGTAGAGATATCTTGAGAAAGGAGGCAAAGGCTCTCAGGCAAGTTTAGGAAAAAGAACAATGCATAGCTCTCTACTTGGGTAAACCAATACAGAACAACTGGCCTGAATCAGGGCATACTTGGTAGATATCAGTGTATCTCACAAGTAAGATAAGCGCCCAATGCTGTCACTTGACAAGGCAGCATGGAGCATAGCCATCACCAAATTCAGACGAGGAATCAGGCAATCTCTTTTGGCAGGCAGTGTACACTCGTACCTCGAGGTAGCAACATGTAGACAGACAGGGAGGGTTTGAGCAGCTTAAGGAGTTGCATGGATGATCGGTACGTGGTTTTTGTACGGAGAGCGAACACATCCTGAGAGTCACGAAGGAATATAAAGGTAGGGAAACCGATCTCGCCGTCCATAGATTGCCGTGATTTAACACACTTTCTCTCTGCATCAAACTTGTAAGCCCTCATCGATTGTGTTGTTGAGTGTTTATGACACCATTCATCAACCTTGGAACATACGTTGCCTCATCTCGAATGAAACCGATGAGATCAACACCCTGCGTTCATCAAGAACCTATACTCAACGTCGTTCTCCGCACACACCCTGGTCACACATCTGATCATATATTTTATTCATAACTTACATTCCTTAACGTTACCCTACCGTTCTTCGCAACCATGGAGCCCATCGCCATCATCGGCATGGACCTCAAGTTCCCCGGCGACGCCACTGACGCCGAGTCCTTCTGGGACATGCTGATGGAGGGCCGCTCGGCCCTGCGTGAGATTCCTACGGACCGGTTCAATGTGTCAGCCTTTTACCATCCTGACCCTGAGCGCGCGGGCTCTCTCAACGTTACCAAGGGTCACTTCCTCAACGGAGACATCGCCGCCTTTGACGCGCCTTTCTTCTCCATCACGCCGGCCGAGGCCGCAGGCATGGACCCCCAGCAGCGTGGTCTCCTCGAGTCGACGTACCGTGCGCTCGAGAATGCCGGCCAGCCGCTGGAGAAGGTCACGGGCTCCAAGACTGGTGTCTTCGTTGGATGCTTCACCCGCGAGTACGAGGCCATCATGTTCAAGGAGACGGAGACGCAGCAGCGATACTTCGCCACGGGCACGGGGACGACCATGCTCGCGAATCGTCTGAGCTACTTCTATGATTTGCGTGGCCCCAGCGTTAGCCTCGACACGGCGTGTTCGAGCAGCCTCGTGGCGTGTCACCTCGCGTGCGCCAGTCTGCGGTCTGGCGAGTGCGACACTGCACTAGCCGCCGGCTGCAACCTCTTTTATAACCCAGATACTATCATCCCACTGACAGCCCTGGGATTCCTGTCGCCCGATGGCCGATGCTACAGCTTCGATAGCCGTGCCAACGGCTACTCGCGCGGCGAGGGCTTCGGCATGGTGGTGCTCAAGCGGCTCAGTGACGCTTTGCGCGATGGCGATACGGTCAGGGCCGTGATCCGGGGGTCCGCAAGCAACCAGGACGGAAGGTCGCCCGGCATTACACAGCCGACGCGCCAGGCTCAGGTCGACCTCATCCGCGCCGCTTATGACGCCGCCGGCCTGGACCTTACGCGGACGCGCTTCTTCGAAGCCCATGGCACTGGCACCCCGGTCGGTGACCCCATCGAAGCCAGCGCCATCAGTGGTGCCTTCTCAGAGCACCGTTCCGCCGCAGAGCCTATGGTTGTAGGCGCTGTCAAGACAAACATCGGCCATCTTGAAGGGTCCGCAGGCATTGCAGGCCTCATCAAGACGGTACTCGTGTTGGAGCACGGCGTTGTCCCTCCCAACACGTGGTTCGAAAAGCCGAACCCCAAGATCCCCGTCGACGAGTGGCATCTTCGGTTCCCCACCGAGCCTCTGCTGTGGCCTGGCGAGGGTCTGAGGCGTGCTTCTGTTAATGCTTTTGGCTACGGTGGTAGTAATGCACACGTCGTCCTCGATGATGCTCTCCACTATCTTCAGGAGCACGGCCTCAGAGGGCGACACCATACCGCCAAGAAGGCGACTCTGAAGAAGGCCCTTACCAACGGACATGCTGCCGACGGCGTCAACGGCCATGGGACGAACGGTATCAATGGTCATGAAGTCAATGGCCATGGTCATAGTGCCATCAGTCAACCGCGGGCCTTCATCTTCTCAACATTTGACCAAGACGGAGCGGCCCGTATCGCGTCAACGTACCAGGACTTCCTCTCCTCCCGCAAGACGGTCCAGCCGCCGTCCCCAAACTTCCTTTCGGATCTGTCGCACACACTCACACGCCGCACCGCCTTCCCTTGGCGATTCTCTGTCGTCGCCAACAGCGTCGATAATCTCGTCTCTCGGCTTGCGGCCAGTCCCTCGCCAACCCGCGCCGCCTCAGAGCCCCAGCTCGCCCTCGTATTCACAGGCCAGGGTGCTCAGTGGCACGCCATGGGCCGTGAGCTTTTGACCTCCAATCCCGTCTTCAGTGCCTCCCTCTTTGCTGCCGACCGCTACCTGCGCGGCATCGGCTGTGCCTGGTCTCTTGTTGGCGAGCTTCTACAGGATGAGTCAAGGTCGCGCGTCGCCGACGCCGCCTTTAGCCAGCCACTTTGTACGGCGCTCCAGGTTGGACTTGTCGATGTGCTTGCCGCTTGGGGTGTGCGGCCCGCCGCCGTGCTCGGGCACTCTTCAGGCGAGATTGCTGCCGCGTACGCCGTGGGCGCCTTGTCGCGCGAGGCGGCGTGGCGTTTGGCATACCATCGTGGTGCCCTGTCGTCAGCGCTTGCCGCGACCACTGGGAGCGACAATCGCCGAGGCGGCATGGCATCTGTGGCCATGAACGCCGAGGATGCGACTAGATATCTCAGTGATAAGCTTGGGGTTGCGGCTGTTGGGCGGGACATTGTCGTGGCATGCGTCAACAGCCCTCGCAATGTAACCATCAGCGGCAATGCTGAGAGCGTCGACAAAATCCAAAAGGCCCTCGAGGCCGATGGCGTTTTCGCGCGCACGCTCCAGGTGAACAACGGCTACCACTCACCGCTGATGGAACCCATTGCTGAGGCCTACCGCGCGTCGATCGGCGTGCTCGAGACTGCCGATACTGGAGATGAGAAGAGCCGTCCTATCTTCTACTCGTCCCTCACCGGAACAACGGCCTCCATAGCAGACCTCCAAAGCCCTGCATACTGGGTCCAGAACCTCACTTCGCCTGTGCAATTCTCAAAGGCATTTGCTCTCATGTGTTCCAGTGCAGGACCACAGTTCAAGAAGCTGGGCTCGCGTGGCGCTGCCCATCAGCAGCAGCGGCCTAAGATTAGCGATGTCCTCGAGGTCGGGCCACACGCCGCCCTACGCGGGCCCATCAGGGAGATTCTCGACCTCGCGCCGCAGGTGACGGCTGTCGGCTATGAATCGATCCTGCGCCGCAACACGTCGGCCACCGACACGGCCCTGACGGCGGCTGGCTGGCTGTGGTGTCATGGCCACTCCATCGACGTGACAATGGCCAACGACGCGGCACACGAAGACAATCCTAATGCTTCTAGTCGCCTCCTCACTGAGGCGCCCGGCTACCCCTTTAACCACGCCAACCGGTATTGGAATGAGAGCCGCATCAGCCGTGGCTACCGCTTCCGCCAGGCCACCCGCCATGAGCTTCTGGGTGCCCCAGTGCCCGACTGGGACCCGGCGCACGCCGTGTGGCGGAACTACCTCCGCCTCGTCGAAAACCCCTGGGTCAAGCACCACCGCATCACAGGTGCCACCATCTACCCGGCAGCCGGCATGCTCGTCATGGCCATCGAGGCTAGCCGCCAGACAGCCGACCCCTCGCGCGTCGTTCGGGGGTTCCGCATCCGTGACGCCCGCTTCGCCGTCGCTCTGCGCGTGCCCTCCTCCCAGACGGGTATTGAGACGCACTTTTACCTGCGCCCTGCACCCCGGGATCACCCTGACACGGCGCTGCAGAGTGTGCGTGAGTTCGCCTTGAGCAGCTTCGAGGGTGGCGAGTGGCACGAGCACTGTCGCGGCCTTGTCGTCACCGAGTACGAGCAGCCGCCCACGGCCGTTGACGGCGGGCGCGAAGAGTCGTCTTTCAGACAAGCATGCCTTGAGACCTTGGCACGCGTAGAGGCCGAGGTCAGAGTCGAGACATCGTTCCGCCAGCTCTACGAGCACCTGTCGACCGTCGGCCTCGACTTTGGTGCTACCTTTCAGACACTTCGCGACATACGCTGCGGACACGACGTCGGAGCTGCCGTCGCCACCGTTGAGCGCCAGGATCTCGAGGGCCTTATGCCCCTGGGCTACCTTCAGGAGCACCTTGTGCACCCCACCGTCCTCGACGGTATTCTTCAAAGCATCATTGTGTGCTTGACAAAGGGCGGCCGAGATATGAACCAGGTCATGGTCCCCTCTGAAATTGGAGATATCTGGGTTTCGGCATCGCCCACGGCCAAGTTCGAATCGGTACGGGTCACCTGCGAAGGTTCGTTCCTCGGCATGCGCCAAGCTGAGGCGCGCATCGTCGGCGTTGACGTGGTCACTGGGGAGCCGGTCTGTACTGTTGATGGTTTTGTCATCACCTCCGTCGCGCGCGCCGAGACAAGCGCCGAAGCGGCAGCCTCAGCAGCGGGCAGGCGGCTCTGCTTTGACCTCGACTGGAAGATTGACCCAGCCTTTGTCGACCAAAAGGTCGCGAATGACGTATTCCAACCTGATGCAGCTCAGGGCCCCACGCCGGAACAGGCACTGCTCATCGAAAGTGTCGAGATGATGTGCTATCTATACATCCGGCGCTACAACGATGCTTTCCTTTCGAGCCCTGAGCAGGAAACGAGTCAGCGAAAGAAGAGCAAAATTGGCCACCACGCTCAATACTTTGACTGGATCAAGTACCAGTTGGAGAAATATGACACTGGCCTCGTGGCCCACGCCAAGACCGAATGGCGACAGCGCGCTGCCGACGATGAATATGTAGCGCTTATGGAGAACAAGCTTCTCGAAGCGGGCTCGCCTGAGGGTAAACTCGTCGTCAGCGTTGGTCGGCAGCTCCCAGCCATCTTGGCGGGCGAGGCCGATGCCCTTGAGCTACTTTTCCAAGACAAACTCGTCGAGAACGTGTACCGGTCTGGCGTGGGCGCCGAGCTGGGCTACCGTCGAATGGTTTCTTACATCGATGCCATGGCTCACAAAAACCCTGCCATGCGCATCCTCGAGATTGGCGCCGGTACGGGCGGTGCCACTCGTCCCATCCTCGAATGTCTCACGACGCATGGCATCCCACGCTTCAGCCACTATACCTTCACCGATATTTCCATTGGCTTTTTCGAAAAGGCTCGTGACATGTTCGATAAAGATGCTGGCGGTCGTATGAGCTTCCGCGCTCTCAATGTTGAGGCAGACCTTGCAGACCAGGGCTTCGAAAACGAGGACGACCAGTACGACCTCATCGTCGCCGCCAACGTCATTCACGCAACCAAGAGTCTCCAAAAGACGCTCACAAACGCCCGCAAGCTGCTCCGGCCTGGCGGCAAGCTGATGCTGTACGAGATGACCAACACGGACATGATCCGTACTGGCTTCGCCTTTGGGCTGCTGCCCGGCTGGTGGCTGTCCGCCGAGGATTTCCGCAAGTACACACCCCTGGCGAGCCCCCAGGACTGGTCCGCATCGCTCAAGAAGAGCGGATTCAATGGCATCGATGTTCAAATGTACGACTTCCCTGATCACCGACACCAAATGGTGAGCGTGCTTATCTGCAGCGCCGAAGGCGGGCCAGCAAGTAGTACAGCTGGGACTGGCGCCCCTACGATCTCGAACACTTCGTCAGAAGCTCTCACCATTGTCGTCAGCGGCTCGCCCTCTAGCTCGTCCCTGCAGATGACCTTAGCTGAGAAACTGGAAAGATCGGGCAGTGCCGGTTCCAAGATTGTCCGCCTCCGGGACTTTGCAGCCCTCGACACTCGAGATGTTCAGCAACGTCGGTGCATCTTCCTCGGAGACATTGACTCCGACTTCCTCGAAAGCGTGCAAGGTGATGAGTACAATGCCTTGCAGAGGCTAGTATCAACCGTCAAGACGCTTCTCTGGGTGAATCAGGGAGGTGGACCCTTGCCCGCCAGCCCAGGCGCCGACATGGTCACCGGCTTCGCGCGGTGTATGCGCGCCGAGAATCCAGGCCTGATCATGCTGACACTCTCGCTGGAAAGTGCCAGCAATCTCGACTCTTCGATTTCCACCATATTGCGCGTTCTTCAAGGATCTGGTGGCGAGAATAGCTTCTTCGCGAGCAATGGCGGTTCCATACTCATCCCCCGCATCACCGAGGCCACCCGCATGAACGAAGTCATCGCCGCCAAGGCAAAGGGTGGTGCCTCTTCCACTGTGTCAGAGACGTGGGCGGCCGCCACTTCTGGTAGGGCGCTCAAGCTCGCTTGCGATACGCCAGGCCTTCTCGATACGCTGCAGTTCCGCGACGATCCCCTTCAAGAGCAGCCCCTAGGCTCTGAGGATGTCGAGGTACAGGTGCACGCGACTGGTCTGAACCTACTTGATGTCATGATCGCGCTTGGCCAGGTGACAGGCGAAGCTTTCGGTCAAGAGTGTGCCGGTGTTGTGACGCGCGTAGGTGACGGCGTCAGTCGCGTTGCCGTCGGCGATCGAGTGTGTGGGCTGCTGCGCGGCACCTTCAAGAACCTGGCGCGTGGCACGCAGTGGCAATTTGTCAAGCTTCCGTCATCTATTGACCACGCCGTTGGTGCCGCCATGCCCGTCGTCTACACAACGGCTTACTATGCACTCCACGACCTGGCGCGATTGCAAGCCGGTGAGAGCGTGCTGATCCACTGGGGTGCTGGTGGCGTCGGACAGGCGGCTATTCAGCTGGCCAAGAAGATTGGTGCCGACGTTTTCGTTACGGTCGGTTCGCTGGAGAAGCGGGACTTTGTACACGAGCACTACGGTGTTGCGCTCGACCACGTCCTTTCGAGTCGTGATCTCTCGTTTGTTCCGGGCATCAAGAGGCTGACAGGGGGCCGTGGCGTCGACGTCATCTTGAACTCGACATCTGGCCAGACACTGCGGGCGACATGGGACTGCATCGCGGCATATGGACGTTTCGTCGAGATTGGCAAGGTCGACATATTTGCCAACGCGGGACTTCCCATGGCTCCGTTCAAGAAAAGCGTCACCTTCTCTTTCTTCGATATTGGCCTTTTGTCGCTCGAGCGGGGCCCTCTTTTCGGCCGGGTGCTCCAAGACGTTGTCAACCTGCTCGCAGATGGGTCAATCACGCCGCCGCAGCCGCTGCATTCGTACACTTACTCCAACATACAAGAGGCGTTCAGGATCATGCAGGCAGGAACGCATACCGGAAAGCTTGTCCTCGAGCCTCGTCCCGATGATTTGGTAACAGTTGAGCCGAGCCGCAAGCCATCGTACTCATTTTCCGCCGATGCCGCCTACGTACTATCCGGGGGTGGTGGCGGCCTCGGTCGAAGCACAGCACGGTGGATGGCCTCCCGTGGTGCAAAGAACCTCATCATTCTCTCGCGCTCGGGTACGTCACGTCCAGCAACGCAGGAGCTCGTCGACGAGCTCGCACAGGCTGGCGTCAACGTTGTGGCTCCGCAGTGCGACGTCTCGAACAGAAAGGCCCTCACAGCTATCCTTGACGAGTGCGCCGCAACAATGCCGCCCATCAAAGGATGTATCCAGGGCTCCATGGTGCTCAAGGACTCTCTCTTCGCCAACATGACGCAGGAGGACTACTACACGGCGGTGCGTCCCAAAGTAGTGGCTTCAAGAAATCTGCATGAGCTGCTGCCTAGAGACATGGACTTCTTCGTGCTGCTCTCATCGGCGTCGGGCATCGTCGGCAATCGCGGCCAGTCCAATTACTGCATAGGCAACACGTACCAGGACGCGCTGGCACGTCATCGCGCAGGCCGTGGGCTCCCTGGTGTGGCCGTGGATCTAGGCATGATCCTTTCCGTGGGATTTGCTGCTGAAAACCAGGGAAGCATGGCCAACCTGCGACAGGAAGGTTTCAATGCCATGCGTGAGGATGAGTTCCTAGCTTTGCTGGACATCCTATGCAGTCCCCCCGATCTTGACGCCGACGCAAACGAGAGCCCGCAGATCGCCGTCGGTCTCGAGGTGCCTGCCACGCTGCGGATCAAGGGCATCCCAGAGCCGGCCTGGCTGCACGATCCCCTCTTCCGTCAACTTTACCAGATCCGTGGCGATGGCGGTGGTCACGGAGATGGCGATGGTGATGGTTCCGCTTCTTCGACATCCTGCAGCGTCCTGCTACCCGCAGCATCGTCGCTCGCCGATGCGGCGGATATTGTGGGCACTGCCATCGTCCAGAAGCTATGCAAAGCGCTATCGTCGAGCGAGAGGGACATTGACACGTCGAAGCCGCTTCATAGTTATGGCGTCGACTCTCTTGTCGCTGTCGAGCTGCGCACCTGGTTCATGAAGGAGGTCGGGGCTGACATGGCCGTTTTCGACATTATGGGCGGGTCCAGCTTGAAGGAGCTGGCTGAGCTGGCTGCTAAGAGGAGCTCCTTCGTCAATCTTGCTGATGAGGATGCCGATGAATGATCTGGGTGATGATGCTTTCGGTGATTGTATTTATGGGCATGCATGGAAATATGGGGAGGAGTTTTCTTTCCTCTTTTCTCTTTTCTTGCTTCGTTTATGTTGTTGCTTGAGATGATGATGCTGAAAGCGAAAGAATGTTGGTCGAGGGGTTGAACTTCAGTGCGCTCAGGGGTTGTGCTGACTAAGGCGATTCAGGTAATACCTTCTCTGACTGGTTCGGCTCTGGGTCTCAACTGGAAGGTGCGGAATACGTGACAGGCAGACAAATACATTTCGATCTTGCAAGTTATGTGTCCGATCATAATTCATTCGAGGCGAGCAGATACCTGCAATATCAATGCTTCCCATCTTCGAAAAAGAAACGAAAAAAAATCACTGCGAATCTCCGAACAGCAATTGCTGCAGGTACGATGTTGTACCCCACTCTTGTGTCATGAAGGCCTAGATTCTCAAAGCAGGCGCAACCCGAGGCCTACCACCTTGCCCTGCCGTTCTCGTAGTTGTGGGCTCTTTGGTCTCAAGCACGAACACCTGTCTTTGTCCTTGTGCCTCGTTAAATTCAAATGTCGCCCCTGGACCGCTGGTTTCTGATCGTTGCACTCCTCACAGCAATATTCACCGCTTCTGCCAAACCCACATGGAAGAACGGCCTATTGACACCAACGACAGGCTGAAACCCTGTAACACTCGCGTCGTCTTCGTCAGCACCGCTTTCGACAAGCGTCCCGTCGCTCTTCTCTTCGTCCCCAGACTGTACGCCTTGGTCCCCGCCAATGTCCGCCGGCAACCCAGCGACAGCATAGCACGGCGTCCACTGCGCCGACGAGACTGGCCCGTCGGTGTTCGAAGGGTGGCCAAAGCCCGCGACGGCCAGAGCGCGCCTCGCCCAGCGATTGCGCACCCCGGCGAAATGCCACTCGACGACGCCTGGCGCCGCGTGGCGGGCGAGCGTCGTCCGGAGATCGACGAGGCCCTGGACGCTCGTGATGTCGATGCTATCGACGGCTGAGCAGTCGAAGATGATGGTGCGGAGACGTGGGAGGTGGTCGTTGTGTGTGGTGCCGAGACTGGACGAAGCGTCATCAAACAACATGGATGCAGAACCCGAGTCTTTGTTTGGACGGGGCTCCTGGACGTTCCACAGACGGTCCGATGGCTTGATGGAAGGATCTTCTGGGGTCGTGCGGCGAGTGTGGGACGTGATGTAACTGGAAATCAAGTCCACATGCTGCCCCTGATTGGTGTAGTTGAGTGTCTGCGGGAAGCGGTAGATGAACATGCCCGGGTAGGGGGTTTCCAAGGGTACCCGGGGGTTGAAGCCTTCGTCCCGCTGCGTGGAAAAGTACGTGTCAAAGGATTTGATGGCTGCCTCTCCCGGTATGTTTGCTGCTGTCTTCGCTTTCGGCGCGTCCCCTTCGGGCGGATGAGACGCTGACACTACTTGATCATCTGCAGGCACAAGGTGAATCCTAACGCGACCGAGAAACGATCCAGGCGTTCGCGCCATCCTCACAAGCAGCAGGCCTAGCGACAGACCTGTGGTGACGTAGATGGACATGTCTAGAGACTCAAACAGCGCTACCACGAGCCCGACAATCCATATGAGCAGCTCAAACGGCGAGAGCTGCCAGTACCTTTTCAGCGCTTTCGGCGTTGTCAACAGGTTGCTGGTCGCATGCATGATGAGGCCCGCAAGTACAGCCTTTGGAATGAAGGCGAAGACTGCTGTGACGACGTACAAGGCCAGAACAAGAACAAGCGCGCTCACAACGCCCGCGAGTGGCGTTCGCACACCAGATTTAGACAGCACGGCCGAGGCACTGAATGACCCGGTACAAACATAGCCACCGATGAAAGGGCTAAAGAGGTTGGCGATGCCCTGTGCCATGATTTCCTGCGAAGGTGTGACGGTGTACCCAAACATGCGGCCGAACGACTTGGCTATGGCAATGTGCTCAATGACTAGAACGATGAGGACGGCTGGGAGCTTGGGCAAAATGAGGATGGTGAGTTCGCTGTCGAAGCGGGGAATGCCAGCATGACGGAAACCTAGGGGTCACTGGATTAGCCTTTATCTTGATGTGATCATGGAATCTCTCGTTTTCACACCTGCTTCAATATTGCCTACTAAGCGGAACTTGGCTTCATCCCGAGGCAGCTTATAGTTGACAAGATAGCTGATGATAGTGAACATTACGATAACGAAGGTGAACCGTAGAGACGATATAATGCTCCAAAGGCGCCTCCTCTTAGGTTTCCGGACCTCAAGCTGAGAGCACGCAGTCTTGATGAGGTAGAGGAGGAGGATAGATGTCAGTCCGATGGCTGCATCAAGTTCGGTATGTCCCAAATTCTTAAGTGTGTTGATGATGACCTTGTATGGCGCCTCCCTCGTATTGATGCCTCGGATGCCGAGTGCTACTGGAAACTGTGTTGACAGAATGGTGATAGCCGCTGCTGTGACGAATGCAGAGATGGACGTGTACGGAATGAAATCAACAACCCAGCCGAAGCGGAGTAGGCCGATCGCCAGCAGGATCATGCCGGATATGAGTGACAAAAGAGGCTGCAACTTCCGCTGCTGTGTATACCCCAGGTTGCTTTTCTTCCACGGCCGTGACCGTGGAGCCCACGAGAAGAGACCCGATTGCCGTGGTCTTGTTGCTCAAGTCAGCCTCGGTGTACCTCTTCTAGAAATCTTTGGGTATAACACATTCAAAGGACAGGATATGCTACTCACCCCTATGACTATATCTCTTGACGTCCCAAACACCCAGTATGTCATGGCGCCGATGAAAGAAGTATACAAGCCATACTCTGGAGTCAGCTTGGCAAGAAGAGCATACGCTAGGGCCTGCGGAACGACCACGAGACCGACAGTCATGCCTGCCACGACGTCGCCCATGAACCAGCGCAGATTGTAGCGCGGCACCCACCCCACGCAGGGGAACAGCGCGAGAGCGTATCCAATCGCACCTTGCTTGGTCGGTATCAAGGTGGCGAGCCATTGCTGAATCGTCGGGTCCTCTTCAAGGTAGATGCGGCCCATGGCCCTTTGGGTTATCTCGAGGTCGTCGGGCTGCATGCGGGACTTTTCGAGGGATCATTTGGCAAAGATGAGTTGGACAACTGGGTGCAAGTGCCATTGATATTATCACGCACAGCCATCGCGGCGGTATACCATGTCTTACACGGCCTTGATGACGATTCTTCTGAGACATCCCCCATGTATGAAAAGCAGATATAATTTTTCAACATGAAGATGATCTGGAACCGTTTTCCAGATAGGGCAGCGCCGTCGCCCTTCATACCAACAAAAAACCTTGCGCCATCGGGGTTTGAGACCATGCATACCTTCGCTACTGCAGTTTGTTGGCATCGACACATACGTAAGCCGTGCTTCTGATGGATGTGAAGATCCTGACTCATGTAATTAAGAATTCCCGACGCGGGCTTTTTGGTGTGTGCATCTGGTCGCCGAAGCGCCATGTCTCCGCCCCACTTAACCCCGGAGGTCCACGCCGGCGTTCTCGGGTACCAATCGCTGGTTGATACCCTGACTACCTTAGTTAATGTACGCAGCGACAATTGGTCACTATTTCTGGAATCATGAGAACTTAGAGGGCTACGTCAAGTGTAATGAGCTAGAGCTTGCCCCATGTCTTTGAACGTCACCAGCCCTCGCCCACGACCCTCACCGGTATATGCAGCGCTCCCACTTGAGACCCGTTCGCGCGGGGCAATCGCCCGCCACGCGCATTCACTTGCAGCGCCTGGTGCATAAGCCGCGGAACCGCAAGACCGCTGTCCCGCTCCGCTCTCCAGTTGACAAACTCGTCCTCTACGACGCCGTGCTTGAGGTGCTTGTTGTCCTTCTTCTGCTCGGCGACCGTCTGGTGCGGCACGGGGTCGTGCCGCCCCTCGGCCTTCGGTGGGTAGTCGTGGCCCGTCCAGATTCTGCACTCGTCGGGGAGCGCCAGGAGCTTCCTCGCTGAGGCGTACAGATCAGTGGCGCTACCCCCCGGGAAGTCGCATCGTGCGGACCCGACGTCGGCGTTGAAGAGCGAGTCTCCGCAGAACACATCATTAGGCCCGATACGGTACCCGATGTGGTCCGGCGTGTGGCCCGGCAGATGCAAGATAGAGGCGCTCAGGGTGCCGACAGAGAAGACCTCGTCATCTTCAAAGGCGTGGTCGAACGCGTGCGTGAGCTCCTCTTCCGGCACGCCGTAGGTCGCGACAACGTGCTGCTGGACCTGCCGGATTCGCTTGCCGATACATACGGCGGGCGGGGCTTGCTGAGTCGAGCCGAGCCTGGCCTGCAGGTAGTTTGCCGCGCTGAGGTGATCGGCGTGGATGTGAGTCTCGAGTATCTTCTCAATGGTGTATCCCTTGTCGGCAACCAAGGCGAGGATGCCGTCGGCGGTGCCGGTTGTGACTGTGGAGCTGGCTGGATCAAAGTCGAGAACTGTGTCTATGAGGACAGCCGCAAGGGTCTGGCGGTCTGCGACAACATATTGCCAGGTGCCTGTAACAGCTTCATAGATATCATGAACGATTGGTTCGGCAGTCATGATGATAGTACCCTGAACGTGATGGCGATGTTGAAGGTCGATGTTCCCGTCTGTGGAAGACTTGCGTACATATAATGAGATAACTGCCTGATCGATCGATTAAATTCGAAAGGACGAAACGCAGGCATTTGGCGTGTTGAAATAGTGGTCTGGGATGGCTTGGTCGCCGACACATTTGTCATAACCTCGGAAAGTCTGAATCAGTCGCCGAACCCAAAGCTCTCGGCGACCTAAATGATGGCAAGCTGATGCAAAGTCCAAACCACTCCCCAAGAACCCAGGCTAACTGATTTAAGCAACATTTTTGTATCTGTAAAGTTGCTGAATGCATCGCGTCAACCAAGGTAGAATATGAAATAAGAAGAATTAATCACGGCACTTCAAATCTTGCATGCCTCGGTCGTTTCTCCTTCACCTGGATGATTTCCTTGGACACAGCGATGCACGAAACGAAGGAAAACTCGGGCTCAATTCATTACAGCTCATCTTTGGAAAACCTTCAATTCGTTGCCACATCTTACGAGTCTTTTCAGCGCTCCATCTTTAGGGTACCACATGAAGCCTGTGAAATGCCATGCATTATCTCGACTGGTTCCCGACCAAAACGAAGTACACCAAAATTCGACCACGTGAAATGGAAGCAGTCGTTCGGCATTCAAAGTATTTGATGATGATGCCAAACGGCTTTCCTGAGGAATCGACATTCAATCAATCGTGATTGAGAAATCTCTGAGAAGAACGCAGCAGATACACAAGTTAAGCGACTTTGAGGAGGCCAGGTCCCACATGTTGCCAGTGAGTATTACCTTCGCCGTGGCAACCGTTGACGACACAGTAGTGTCCATCGCCGTTGTGGGATTCTGCCTGGACTGGCGATCGGATCCAGACGTCCCTAACCTTTTCATAAGGCCTGCCCCAGAAATCGTGCCTCATGAGCTCAGCACGGTAGCCTTGGAAATACCGCCGATGCTTCAGACAGATAATGTCCCCACGTTCACCCTCGCAGTTGTAGATCTTGGATTGTCCCCATGTATAAGACACGGAGTAGCCACCAGAGATCCACTCTAGCCTACCGAGCCCTGCAAAGTTGAAGGTGGCAGTATGAGTCACTGAATAAGAAGTTTCTTTACCAGTGCTGCAGACGCGGCCGTGTGTACAATCGATTTGTGTCTGCCGAGATGAACATTTATCAGCGTACTTTCCAGGAAACTGGTTCAGGGGTATAACTAACAAGAGTACGGTGTCGACGGTACCTGTAGGGCACCGGGTTCGGGTGTGGTCGGGCCCTATCCAGCTGGCGACGCTCAATGGAGGGCCCCTGTCTTCCCTTTGGGTTGCTCTCTTCAACATCAGCGTCAAAGATATCGGAGGTAAGGTCGGCCGCAAGTTCCTCCTCGGCGTCCCAGGAAACACCAATGAGCAGCGAGGGGTCGAGGCCAATACCGTCCGGGTAGCACTCGACTGTGCTATTGCCCTCAAGACCTGGCAGGTCGCGAGTCTGAACGATTTGTTCAAGTGGGATGTAGCACTCCGCAGATGCCTGCTGGTGACTGTAGATCCTTGAACAGCTGATTCCTGCGGCGGCATCAACGCCAGCGGCGATGGGGTGCTCGACGCCATTGACGGTGACACTGCCGGCACCCTTGTCGTTGGCGTTGAACTCAACCTCTATGCCAAAGGCAACAGCCGAGACACGGTTGCTACAGTCGTATTGTAGAAGGTTGGCGAATTCGGCGTCCCAGAGGCCAGTAGAGGTCCGACCTGTGGTCAAGTCCTTCTCCCAGATGGCGAGGACGACAGACTTGGCTCCGTTGTGGACGATGACAGCTTCCGTCACGTCGGTGACTTTGCCATCCTCATCAACAGCGACGGGAGCATTGTTGTTGGCAGCGGCTGCGAAGCCAGCAAAGCAAAGTAAAGTAGTGAACAGCATAGTTGAGAAATGGCAGTTGCCCTCGTGTCAAACGCTGCTCGTATCGATTTGCGTTCTAACAAGACTGGAGTAAGAATGGCGGGGATTTTGGGGTATTTATAGCTCAGAAGTCTCGAGGAACCATAAGAAAACAGCTGAATCTACACTCCGAATCTCCAGACCGCGAATTGAGTAGTGAAGCTTAACCGCCTAAAGCACACGATCCATGAATGTTGGCATGCATAGGAGTCACCAGGTCTGTATATGCTGGGAAATGACGGTGATAGGACACCCTACGAGGCCAAGACGATCCCACATAGGTTCGAGTCTTAGCATTGAGTCTGAACCAGCATATCTGCATGCGGACCAATAGCAAGACAATGCTACACCAGTTGTGCCCCAGGTTTACCTCAAGACTAACTTGGTGCGGCAGAAAGGCGTAGGTTGAGAGCGAACGGACCTTCAAAAAGTAGGCTGAGTCCTTGGCAAGTGATTCCTTGGGGATCTTGGCCAACTATGTGCATGCACCTCAGCGGTTACCCGCTTCCAACATATAGATGCACCGGACGAACGGAGACTCGCCAATTCAGATCCTACAGTGATATGATCCACAAAATCACACCCGCCCCCAGACTGTTGTTACTGTATTTCCGGATCTCCTGTCAGCTGGTCCTGATAATTGTTCCGCGGATAGCGAGAATGAAGTCTATGGCTTTCTCCATTACGGGGCATAGTCGGGTAAATGAAAATCACAATGGTTTCTTATGCAGAACCGGTCGCCATTTACAAACTCCGCGCAAAGGCAATTTGATTCAATTATGCCTCCTCGATGCATTATGAGTTGCGCAGAACCCTGGGAAGACAATTCGAGGGTGCGCCAAGGAATCGCTGCACGTTGCGAAACAAGCCTTCTTTGCGGAGAGCCTATTGGAGACAACAACTTACTGAACTGACTTCTCCAATATGGCCCAGCCATTTATCCCCTTGGTCTTGTAATGAGTAACATGTCCTTCTTCTTGCGTATAATCAGTCCAAGGCTTCGGTAGCAGCTGAATACCGCCGTCGTGCGGGTGCCTCTACTGCCGAGTAAACTCCTAGAACTACTTTGAAAATATAATTGAGATGTTGAAAAGCTCAAAAAGAAAGGCTCCGCGTCTCTGCACTTGGCTAAGCGTGCTAATTGAACGCAAAAGTTACCAACGAACCCTACTGCCAACGTTATCGATTCGCCGTATTTTACTCTCGGCCATGTGCCCTCTTCTAGCTGTGCTTCCGCTTGCTACGGATGCCACTTTCTCAACTTCTGCACGTCCGCTTCCCCGCAATCTATAGACTGTCTCTTTATCGGCACTGAGCGGCAACTAGCCAAATTATGGATGATCGACGGGGTTCGTCTGGGGTGATTGCACTTCCGAGAGATTCTCCGCCTCCTTGCCCAGTCAAGCCATCTGCCGATGACGACAGATGCATGAATCTTCGCGTGCTGGTTACGAATGCTGAAAGGATAGCTTCAATGAATCGGGTTGCAGTCCCAATTGATGTGGTCTGCCGTCAGAGTTTCCGAGAAAGACTCCGACACATTGCAGGTGTCCGAAACACTCCTGTTATTGAGACTTCACAAGGCTCTCATCCATGGCCATATAAGAAGACATCGCAAGCCGAACACTCAACATGGCAGCATTCACTTCTAGTTTGCCACTCATCTTGGTCCGTCACTCAACACTTCCACAGCACTTGATTACCAACCCTTAACAATGCTGTCTCAATATGTCACTCTGCTGGCCGTCTACCTGATGCCTGTTCTGGCAGCCCCTCAGGCCCAGGGTCTCCACAAGAGGGCCGTCAGCTGCCTCTCAGTCGGAGCAACTGCCACTGCTCGGTGGACCAACGCCGCAGGGCAGAACTGCACATTCACTGGCGTTGTTGGAAGCAACTACGGAGCCAACGGCGCCGGCGCCGGAGAGTAAGACTATTGCTTGACACAGGATATTAGTATAGCAGCCTGGCTAACGCGGGCCAACAGTTACTCCTGCAACGGCCGTTGCGGTGCCGGTTGCACCGGCTCTTCAGTCGGGAATGCGTACACGCAGGACTGCTTCTCCCATGACATTTGCTCATACTTTAACAACGCCAGCGGCGGCGCGAGGTGAGTTGTGACGTGAGCCTGGGGCGCCGAGAATGATACTGATTGTTACGGCCAGTGACCCCAACTGCGGCGCCGCTTACAACGCGGCCGTGGACGATACTGCTTTCGGAACTCTCAATGGCTGCGGTCGTACTAACCCTTCCAACGCGGTCTCTAAGCCGTCGACGAGGCCTGTATGTCAGTGAACGCCATGGGCAGATGTTGTTGCCGCGCGGAAAGTGAAAATGGGTACAGGCTGTAACAAGTACCAGGGTTGGGGATACCCAAATGGTCTCGTCTGGGTATTATAGGGGAGTGGATATTTGGCTTTCTGAGTTGCCTAGAGGGAACCCATAGGCTGAAATGGGTTGACCTAATCACCCATAGAATTTATTTGGGTTTTGGGCGGGTTTGCGTTCTTACGCTAAATCTCTGGGTACCTAATGGGTCAGAATCTTTGGATATTCCTGAGCCTAATAGTGCCGCCCTCGTCAAGGCCTGGGTCGCTTGGACACTCGGGTCAGGACGTTTTGTAGAGGTGAAGTCACGCCGGCTTCGTCTCTCCGTGAGTCGCCTGACCGCCGCTCCCCAATCTGGCACCGGACGCGATCGCGCGCGATATCTGTTCGATCCTGGCCGTATTGTATTTCTTCTCCAGCACCTCTCTGAGCGCTCGGATCGGAGCGTCAACACTTCCGCTCGGAAACAATTTTCGCGCGCTAGCAACTGCAGCGGGCCATCTGCGTCGATCTAGATGTTGGTTTTATAATTGAACATGTAGAAAGCCGGCCGGTTGATTCCCGTGAAATCATCCTGCCCGTAACTGTTATCCAATTATTCCTCGGGTTAGGCCTGGATCGTAGTCAGCGAGAACGGTGCCGACGTAATGCTCACTTAGACCACCTGCTTGAAATATGGTCGCCGGATTTATCATTGCCCGAACCAGTGCCTAGCTGGTCTCCAGCCAAACGCAAACGGACGGACCTCAGAAAGCTTCGACGTGATACGCAATCATGCGTTCGTGATTCTTCGTTTTTTGCGCTCATATTGCTCATCTTGTACTTCACTAATCTTCCTTAATAATCGTTCAATCTGTCAGGCGACCCTGCGAAGTCGCCAAGCAGGGGGTCGGCCAGGGCCTAAGGGCTACGAGAAACGTATACATATAGGCTACGGAGGGCCCTCTAAGCTACGGAGGGCCCTCTAAGCTACGGAGGGCTAGAATTCAGATATAATCCGAACCCCCTACCTATCTTCTATTTACTGCGGACCACGTATGGAAGAACTCTTCACTCTGCTCTAAACAATGCTCTGACACAATCTTAGCTTCGATGGCATTTCGCCTGTGTTCAAGATCCTCCTTTTCTTTTCCATACCCTTAAAGTAGCAGGCTATAATGAGACTTGGGTGAGCCTTGAATGGAAATCTGGTGTGTTGAAGCTCTATCTCCATTATGTCCAATGACGGCATTCAAATGCTCGGCAGTAAAGCAAACTAATCTCTTCGCTTTGCGCTGAGACTCAAATACGCTACAATAAGGGATGGGCATATGAGAGACGACAAGACGGGGGACTACGCATGGCGGCCCGGTGGCCGAGAGGCCCAGCTCGCAGTGGGGCCAATCCACCACAATTGGCCCAACTCCAGAATGCAAAAGTCATCAACCTCCCCCGCCAAACTCTCACCCTCACCAACCCCTGTCTCATGCCCCTCCATCACATCACGCCCACCATGGCAGACACCGACGACGTCGGAGGCCTCTTCAGCATCGCCATATCCGACAGCGAGGACGAGGCCAAGGCCGAGGAGAAGAAGCAGCGCGCCGGGCAGACGGAAGAGGAATTTCGGGCCATCAAGGCCTCGTACAAGGCCAAGATTGAAAACGGCGAGGTCAGCCAGTCCTCTCTCCTGTCATGCGTGCCCCTGTGGAGTGATTGAGGAGGCTGACCGGCTGCTGCAGATTTGGATGGGCATCTCGCTGCCGCTGGAGGAGAGCGCCAACAAGCCGGTGGCGCAGGAGCTGCTGCACGCTGTGGAGGAGCTGTATTTCTTCCGCAGGTATGAGGAGGGTGCACGATTTGCGAGGAGGGTGCTTGAGACCAGCAGCAGTCTGTTGGATGATGAGCACAGGGAGGTGTTGACGTTGTACGAGAAGAAATGTTTGGCCAAAACAGGGGATATTGAAGCGAAATGAAACCCGTACAATGAATGCATGCAAGCAAAGCGAAATGACCTGCTATGGGTTGTTTTCTGAAGTGGTATCATTAGCTTTGCCTTTCCCTGAGTGTCGATGGGCGCATGAGCAGGGTAGTACGTGTCCATCCATCGAAGGGATCATAAGAGACTCGTCATAAGCCTGCAAATATCGTTGACAGCTATTGAACAACAAACCGTCAGATGAGTCACTCGACAAGTGGCACGCAAGGTGGTGAGAAGGCAGATTGGAGAGTCTATTATTCTCAGAAGCTCTATGCTTCCTCTAATGTGCTAACGCGTGGTGAACGCGCCGCGGCTCTATGCAGTGTATGGGGTATTCTCGACGCCAATTATACAAAAACGGAAACGCTTCCCGAAACCGTTAAAAAAATCATGCCCTGCCAACGCCAGTTGTTTTGTGTCCCTTTGTCTAACCCGTCCCATTTGAGGTACCAGCATCTGTAGCCGGTGATGCCTTTGAACGCTCACAAGTCATGGAGAAAAGTTGCTCGGTCGAATCGTGTCTGTGTGGTGCGTGTGTGGTGCGCGCGTCGTCCAGTCGTAGTGTTGTACGAGTGGCTTACGCAGTCGCCCTCTGAGTGCCCATCATACGCTCGCGTTCGCGCTCCTCGGCAAAGACGCGACGGCTCATCTCGAGAACGGCCTCGAAGCCCTCGCGGCCCTTGGACGCGTTCTCGTTGAAACGACTAACAAGCGAGTCCTCGATGCTGTTCTTGATGCGCTGCCAACCGCCACAGAGGGCGGTAACCTTGGCATCCTGAACAAACTGAGTTTGCGTAGGGCTCAGGGGCTTGTAGACGACGGTCTCTTGAACGGAAACCAGGTTGGACCATGTCAGGTTCTGTGAGACCATGGTGACAGTCTTGCGGGCGGGATCAACGTAAGACGTCTCGTACATATAGGAGACATCCATGGTGTTGCCCATCAGCGACTTGAGCCACTCGGGGGCAGTCTGCTTGCAGGTGATGAGACGCTCGGTGCGAAGGATGCCCGACTCCGGATCGACGCGGCGGGCGAGGGTATCGACAGCGATGACATGGGTCGACTTGTCGTTCCACGGGCAGTACTTGTTCCAGTTGGCTGTGGAAACTTCCTCCCAGGAGTAGTTGAATGTGACTGAGTTGGAGAAGACCTTCATGGTGGCGATGGCTCCGAGAGGAGAGCTCGCTCGCGTGTTGGTGTTTGTAGCAGAGAAAGTAGGGCGACAGTCGAGCTGGAGAAGTAATCGAGTTGTCGTGTGTGTGGTAGGGTTGGTTTTCGTGTAGTTGGTGTTGTAGGTTTTGGTAAAGCTTGGGTGACTCAAGTTTCTTTGATGATAATCGATGATGTTCGATTCTGATCTGTAGAGGGTCGAAGGGGGATTGATTCCCTTTTGACGGAAAAGAGTGGAGGAGGTCGTGTGCGGGTTTTTTAGGGAGCGGGCCAAAATTTTCTGGGATTCCGGAGAAGGGGAGGCATTCTCTGTCTTGTGAGTGGCGCTTGGGCGGGCACTTGGTCATCTAGCACCCTTTGGGACTAGCCTCTTCAGGGGTGGGAAAGGACCGGAAGAGATGGTTGCTGGACGCAGCATGTGATTGGCCCACTTTGGTACGCCGGCGACTTCCTTCACTTGCTTCCCCTTCCTGCGTCGCTCCCGACGTCCGAACTTTCGCCCCTTCCCCCGCGCCAACTCCGATTTTACAGCGCCTGGCGCCTGCTGATCGGTTCGAGAGCCATCCTTTGAGCGCCCCCTTGGAAGCGGCCGGACCGCGGAAAAGATGGGTCCATGTCGCCCACGCCGTTGATCATGGAGCGAACTCGGCCAAGCTGGACCGGATGCCAGATCCAGGTCCAGGGTCCTCTGCCATCGTCGGCCGCTGACTGGTTAGCCGCGGCAATACCTGGTTGGCCGCCTCCGCATACCCACGGCAATCTTTTCCCACTGTATATTCTCCATTACATCACACATCGCCAGCTATCATCATCCGCCACCTGATGGCAATGATGTGCAGCTGCAATTCCAGGGTCCTCGTCCATCTCCTACGATTAACCCAGCCAACCAGCCAAGCCAGCGTTCTGGAAGCCACAGGGTCATTCTTCTGGACCAGTCGCTCCGGATCATGACAACTTCACGCAACCAACCCACAGCATCAAAAGCCCACCACCTACGTCACAGCCACGCGCATTGCAACAACCGCATTGGCCAAATTGCGTTCTGCCGCAATCATCATCAGTTCTTTCAACACTGCAGTCAATTGCGGATTCGTCATCAAGAAATCGACTTTCGTGTTATCTGTCCACCCTAGTAGTCCTCTCCTCTGCTGATCACTTCCTTCACCGTAGGCCGAATCAGGATTGTCTGTAAACCAAGTCAGCACATACTGCATGTTTCTGGCATCCACAAGACGAAGTCTGGAGGGGGATCCCCAACTTACGTGTTCGAATTGTGCCGTGTAGGAGCCCTTCTTGTCCACCAGTGGCGGGTACGCCTCGACGATTCCGGCGCTCACCAGGTTGTTCAACTAAAATGCCTCGTCAGCTGCAATGTCGGACCATACTGCCGCACAGAATCGGGACCACATACACCTAGAAGATACTTCTCCTGCCCCAGACGGTCCAGATACCGCCGGCAGAACGGCAGCGTGCCAAAATTCTTGTTGATCACGTTCAGCAGCCTCTTGGCCGAATCCAGGCGCAGCGGCACGTTGGAGTCGCCGCGCTTGGCATAATGCGAAACCTCCATGTCGTCCCGGACGTAGCCGTTGCCAGTGCTGCCGAATGTCTCCACGGCGAACACGTCGCCTTCCTCCATCTTGGTCGTGTCGTTGCTCTTCACAATGGGCACGCTCTTGGCGCCGTGAATGCTCCACCGCTCAATCGTGTGGCCGTTGAGGTTGCGGATCGACTTGACGGGGTACGTTGTGCCGTCAATCTCAACCTCGTAGCTCTCCATGACCTCCTGGATGACGCCTCCGATGTCACCCACCCGCACGTCGATGCCCGCCTCCTTGACACCGGCGTTTGTCGCCTCACGGACGGCTGTGAGCAGGTTGTCGTACTTGGGCTCGAACGCCAGCGTGAAGGCGCTGTCGACGATGCGTCCGTTGACGTGCACGCCAAAGTCGACCTTCATGACGTCCTCCTGCTGCAGGACCATCTTGTTGCCGAGGTTGGGTGTGTAGTGTGCCGCGCAGTGGTTGATGCTCAGACCGGTCGGGAAGCCCATGCCGCCCTTCAGCGCGTCGCCCTCCTCGAGACCCCAGTGGCCCGTCAGCGCGCGCACGCCGTCCTCGATGCCCTCGGCAATCTCGGTCAGTCCCTGACCGGGCTTGATGTTCTTCTGGGCCCACTGGCGGACCTGGCGATGGATCTCGGCGGCCTCGCGGTAGTCGGTCAGGAAGTCAGAGTTGAGGTTGTCCAGGTGGCGCTTCTCCTCGTCCGTTGTCCGGTAGGCGTTGTCGTTCAGGTACTCGCACTCCTCGCCGACGGGGTAGTTCTTCTGCGGGAAGAGCTGCGACAGGAGGACGCGGGGTGGGTCGGACTGGGCTGTCGGCGCCTTCTTCTTCTTCTTGTTCTTCTTCTTCTTTTTCTTCTTCTTAGCGGCGCCCTCACCGCCGGCGGCGTCGGGGGCCGCAGCGCCCTCGTCCTCCGAGTCGTCGCTGTCGTTGTCTACCGCATGGCCGTCCGGCGCTTCCTTGCCGTTTGTGGTGGCGGCCTCGCCCACTGGAAGGGGATCAGCTGCGGCTCCTCCATGACGGCGGGGGCCCATTTGTGGTTGCACGAACCTTGGAGCTCCTTGAGAGCTTCGGTGGGAGCTTGGGCAGCCATGTTGGCGCTGTGTCGTATCAGTAGCGTGTAAGTTGGGGTGTGGTTGAATGTGGGAGGAGAATTTGTCCCCCACCTGCGGTTATCCAAGGCGCGCGGGGCAGACCTCCTAGATGCAATACAAGCAAGCTCATGTCGGTTACATGAATATCCGTCACATCATTTGTCGCACGCTGCCAGTCAGGTTGTTGCATTTTGCTCCACTCAATCAGGCTCCCTAAGAACTCTTGCTCATCGCATGCGGGTATTTCTTCCCAGACATGCACAGTTGTACGCGATGGTGATGTGCAGTTACGCTTCCCCTAAATTTCCCATGCCCATTCTGTTCCTCTATCTGTGGCTTGCTTTCCTGCCAGGCCTGCAAGCCATTTCAAAGGCTTGAAATGGCTCAGGAGGCTAGTCTGTCGGGATCTGAAACGTTCATAACTGGCCTGGAGCAACATGCAACCCTGGAGCTATATTCTTGATCTCTGGAAATCTACATGAAGACAGCCTAAGGATGTCCACTGCACCACGTACTGTCTGGGTCAAGGTGCGCGCATCCTGATTTTGATGGAAATTGTGTCCAGAGAGAGGTTCTGCGAGAAACTGCTTCCCTGTCCGACACCGATGAGAGTAGAAATCAACTTGGTATCATATTGCAGCTCATTCAAGCTAGCCTTTTCAACTACAGACTGGCATAAAAAATGGGTTACGTCTCGAAAAGAGCGAGGCCATCGAGTCAGACGACAAGTCCGAGCATGCTGGTTGAATCTCTGCAGCGTAATGGAAGCAGCTTAAGATGTAGAGACCTCTCCCCAAGGCCTAGAGGCATTCTGATGAAGCTTTGCGACCATGGGGAATCCAGCGGTCACTCAGCTGGCTCATCTGGCTTGCCAAGCTGAGGCCTGTACCTTTGCGCTCTTGCAACGCTTTGGTCCAGCGCTGCGAGTCATCGATAGGCTTCCCATTGCCCGTCAGGCCCAAAACCTCCATGAGCTCGGGGACCTCGGCATGGTCGCGCGTCGAGCGCATTCGGTGGCACCAAGTGATGCGCTTCTCCTCGGTACTGTACTTCGCGTCGCCACCGTCATCATGGACTGAGCCGGACGGCCTCTGTGTGTCCTGTGCTGTGATGGCATCGCCAAGTGTCCGATCAACCTCTTCGGCTTGCGGTGTCGTGACTGGCGTCATGAGATCCATGGGTTCGAAGAGGAACTCGCCACCAACCTGCTGGAAGTCACCGCTCTTGGTCGCCAGGCCTGTGGTCACCTGCTTGAGGCCTTGGATAATGGAGGAGCCTGTAGACTTGAGCATGCTCTTCTTCATGTAAGCGGGCTTCGATCCCAGGTCCCAAGTCCGCGTCATTTCAAACTTCTTGTAAAGACTGCGGGTCGGGTCGGTGTAGATTGGGAATGGACAATTTGTTGTTTCCGCGTACATCTGAATCAGACCCGGGTCACCACAGCCAATGACAGTGATGAAGGTACTGACAGGCAATCGGAGAAGCGACTCGGTGGTAATGGACTCGGAGACGGCGCGAAGAAACTCCTGGCAATTCTAGAGCTCGTCAGTGGTCTGCGTGATTGAAGGGTGCCATCGGCGAGACTTACGCCACAGAAGAAATGTCGGACGAAAATGAACAGCATGCGGCGTGCCACATTCCGACCACTGTGCAAACTCTTGAAGGTGTGCGTTTTGCCATGGCGATCGAGAAGCACGTAGTTTTCGACTCTCCTGATCAGCTCAGTCGAGGGAATCTCGTTATTGGTTTCAATTTCGCCTTCAAAGTCTTTGGGCTTGGAGGTGTCGACTTCAACAGATGTTGCTCTTGTCGAGCTATCTGCTCCTTGTGTCGCCGGCGTGGTTGGTGATTTGGAGCCTTCTGCTTGAGTTGGCTGAATAGATGGGTCGAGGGTTTGATGATGCGCTGTGGACACTCCGAGAGTCTTATCTGCCTGCGATAGGCCCTCCGATGCGGCATTTGCAGGTAGAGGCGCCTGGTGCAGAGGAAGGCTGGCCGTCGTAGCTTGGGAGGTGGTGTCTTGGGCAACGGCTGGTGGTCCTTCGATGGGTGCAGTCGTCGCCTTGTCCTGGTCTACTGTTGACGGCGTCGCGCCGCCTGCCGTTGTGGGGGTGGGCTCCGCTGTAGCCATAATGTCCGCAGTGAGATCGATGGCCAGCGTCTGGTACAGTTGAAGAGGAAGAATGAATAGGTAAGTTATTTGCAAATCGACGAGCCGAAGAAGAGGTCCTGGAACACCCTGGAACAAATGATGATGTAGACTGGAGGCGCAGCAGGGACAGGCCACCGACCCCAAGTTATGTGAGGGTCCAGGACCCCTGGACGCAAAACGATGCGGTCAGACCAGGATCTGGCACCACCAAGTCGACTGCCGATCTAGCCAGCGCCCAGTCAGACGTGCAGGCGGTTGCACGACAGTAACATAATTTCTGCCAAAAACCGGGAAGCAAGTTGGGCGGTGGCATTCTGTAGCGAATGGCAGTGTGGTTTCGGGCATCGTCTTGTTTCCTGGTTGTTGGATGCCTTTGCTGGTCGTTGGATGCCTCCCACAAGCTGGGTTGGTGTTTCATTGCTGTATGAGGTCATCTTTCCCATTGCAATACTCACGTTGGGTAACCGCCCGCCTCTTTGCAATGGCGCTGCTACCAACGATCGCTGAATGGCAAAGATACATTGACCACGGAGGAGCTTCCTCGCCCTCGAGTATACTCCTGCCAACGTTTATTGGACACGGCCTTTGATCGCCCGTTGTCGTGATTCTGGATGATGTGCCAAGGAAACCACCTGCAGGAGATCAGCAGAGGCTCCGAACTCCAATCTGCCCCAACCCACATGAGGGGACGTTGTGTGTGTCGGAATTGCATCTTCAAGCACGAAGTGGTTCCTTTGAGCACGCGTTGGACCTGAGACGCTCACGTATAGACCAATTTCAGGGCTGACCTGTACTGCACCTGACCACCAATGAGTAACACTGGCGCTGGCTTGTGGCTGGGCAGCTGTCATGGTCGTTCTTTCCACATAAGTAAATCTCACTGGGACACACTGGGTCATTCTTTCTCCAAGGCGCAATACGCTTTCCTGTGCGGGCCAGAAGCAGTTGACATCTTTTTTGAGAAAAATGTCACTCTCAGAATTCCTGGTCTATCATACATTACCTTACTCACGCCGGCATCCTGACCCAAAGCTCATGTAAAGCTCCTTAAGAGAGCCTGATAAGCTGCATCACATCCCCATAAAGCACAAGGCGTCACATACGCGATAACTATTCCATTGGGTTTTCAGAGGTGTTCCCACGATGCAACAATTTTCGCGGTCCCCTGTCCGATCCTCAAAATCATTCCGGCAGCCGCATCACGGTTCTGCGATACCTACGCCACGCGATACCGAAAGGTCCAACAAACGTGGCACGGGAAGCCCTCTCACGTCTTTTCGGTCTCGTCTGTTTGGCTATGATGACCTCAACCAAAGCCGAAGTCTAGCTGGCTCCGAAGTCAGGAGACCAGGTCGCGACAGGGAAACCCACCCGTTTACCCCTTACATTGCAGTCGTTGCAGACCATGAAAGAACGGAACTCCAGCCTAATCGGCCGTTCCGTAGTGCATTTGAACACGGCAGGTTTACTGATCGAAAAGCTCGTCTGAACCAACCGCAGGACGGGGTATCCCACACTCCGAAAGACATTACCCCTGCCAAGTGTGAGGCCAGCCCACTACTGCAGCTTCTCCTCAAGCCCCAACATTCTGGTACGGTATATCCTTCGCGTGTTGAGAAGCGACCCATCCGCGGCAGCAAGTCTGGCGAGATAGTGAATGATATTAGGCACAACTACCACAAGGCGACACAGCCGCTTCGGGAGGCAGCAGCGCGCGCATCCGCCGTCGAAGCACCCCGCCAACCCCCGGCCTCCAATGCAAAGAGCATTGATGAGCTCAAGGGTAAGCCGAACTTTATATCCGTCTCATGAATCTGTCAGAGCAACGTTTGCCAGGTCTTAGAAGAGAGGAAGAGAGGAAGAGAGGAAAGAAAGTGAGAAGGGGACTTTGCTGATCATAATCGCGTTGAACAGACCGCTACGGCGAGCTGAGTGCAGCCCTACAAGCTGACGTGTCCGCCGCTCTTGACGACAGCCATGCTGCCCTCGCCGAGCGCGTGTCCGTCCTCTCCGCAGAGCAAGGAGAATTCCTCAATCGTTACGCGGATCTGACCGTCGACTTTGGCCAGCCCCTGTCCGAGAGCTACGTCTACGACCAAGAGCGGGAAGGCGACGCTCCCGGCGAGAAGATCTTTGTCGGAGATGTCGTGGCCGAACTACAGGAACACCTCGTCGAGACAGAAAAGCTTCTCGCTGGCGAGTGGGAGCGGTGGGACGAGTGCAAGGCCGCCGAGGAGAGGGCAGCTGCTTCCTTGATCCAGGATCTGCAAGCCAGACCGGACCTTCCCGGGAGACTGGACTGCGAGGTGAAGAAGTGGGAGAAGGAGATGCAGAGACTCGCCAAGAGAGCTGCTGACAAGATGTCCCAACTTGAAAAGGTGCGTGACCTCATAACCACTGCTCGCTCTGGGACGCTGACGGTTTTCACCCCGAAGTCACTGGAGAGGGAGCGCAACGATGCGATTCGGCGGAGCGCTGCAAGTTTCGAGCTTGAGCTCAGACAGTTCCACTGAGGAAAGGACAAGTCTAGAAGATGATGCATTGGGCTGTCTTTTTTGGTGGGAGTCGGAAATGATTGCTTCATACATGGAGGGAAACCTGAAGCGGGGGTTATGATGGACGGATGTTACTGGAGTTCTTGGTACTCATCACAGGGACGAAGCACGGAAATGGCCGAGAAAAATCTCACTCGCAACGCAAAATGTATGAATCACCTTTAATTGTCTAGGCATCTAGGCAGGTAAATAGCTCGTGGTCGAACCAATCGACTCCAACCAACTCATCTGTGTATGTATATGCCGGCTCACGTGCAACTCATGCCATGCAACCCTGATGCCGATGCCAACGCCACTTTTCATGTGCGAAATCAGCACACGTTGCCTGCCAATCAATCCGTCAAACAACCAACCAACCAACGCCGGGCCAATGAACCTCCTCCGCCTGTCTCTCATGAAGTGCAGCTGTCCCCTCCCCCCTTTCTTTTTCCAAGCCTGCTTAGGGTTATCTCGCCCCCGCCATTACTCCGGCGGGCAGGAGAGAAAGGAAGAGCAGAAAAGATTGCTTCGCATGTTTGTCGCGCGAACCCTTTTTCTTGCCTTTTTCCTGGCTCTTTTCCGCTTTTCGCTTGTTTCGCATCGCTCTCCCTTTACTGCTCCTCCTGGACGGTGACGGCCCACTCGTGCTCCTCGCCTCCGTACATGATGTCGCGCATGTAGCCCTTGAGCTTGAGGGTGAGCTCGCCGCCCTCGCCGGAGCCCATGCCGATGTTGATGTCCTTGCTGCGGTGGTGGATGAGGGAGATGGGGCAGACGAAGTACTGTGGGCGTCGCATGTCAGCATTCGGGTTGGCGTGATCGAAAAAACAGAGCAAGATAAAGAGGGGGGTGAAAAACTCACGGCGGTGCCAGTGGCAAAGGACTCGAGCAGGCGGCCCTCGGCGTCGGCCTCGATGACCTCGTCGATGGAGTACTTGCGCTCGACAACGTTGACCTCGCCGGCGAGGCGCTCGCGGGCCAGGGCGACAACGCTGCGGCGGTTGACGCCGTCGAGGATGAGCCTGTCGTCCAGGGGCGCCGTGACGAGCTCAATCTTGGAGGGGTCCTGCTTGCTCTTCCAGGCGACGAAGAAGTTGCTGGCGCCGGCCTCGGTGCAAAGCTGGTCCTCGCCGTAGAGCCAGAGGATCTGGCCGAAGCCGCGCTTGCGCGCCTCGACGGTGGCGGCCAGGGAGGGGCCGTAGTTGGCGCCGACCTTGGCGTAGCCGAAGCCGCCGACCCAGGCGCGGACCTGGTCTTCGGGGGACGTGTGCAGGCGCATGCCGCCGGGGGGCGAGTCCATGCGGGGCATGAAGGAGACGATGATGTAGAGCATGGCCTCGGAGGGGGCCTGGACGCCGAGCTGGGACTGGGTGCCGATCATGGTGGGGCGGATGTAGAGGAAGGAGCCCGGGCGGTCGCGGGGCAGCCACTTGGGGCCGTCGACGGCGAGCAGGGCGTGCAGCAGCTTCTCGAGCTCGGCGGGCGGGAAAGCGGGGAGAGAGATGCGCAGGGTCGACATGAGCATGCGGGCGGCGTTGAGGCTCGGGCGGAACAGGCGAAGGCGGCCGTCCTCGCCGCGGTAGCACTTGAGACCCTCGAAGCACTCGGTGGCGTAGTGGAGGACCGAGGCGGTGGGCATGAGCGAGAGGGGGCCGTAGGGCTTGAGCTCGGGGGCGGCCCAGCCGGTGGTGGCATTCCAGGTAGCGGTGATCATGTGGTCGGTGCAGATGGTCTCGGTGCCCGAGTTGGCGACAGCCTCCGAGGGCACGGCGCGGGGGTTGGTGTTGCGGGTGAAGACGAGCTTGGAGGCGTCGAGCTCGGCGGGCTGGGAGACCTTCTTGCCATTGGCGTCAGCGCTGACGCCGACGGCGCTGCCATTCTTGACAGGCAGGGCGTCAAGCTTGCGCTCAATGGCGGAGGAGGTCAGGTCGACGTCCTGGACGCCGGGGGAGACGGCGGCGGGGGCCATGGCGATTTATTCGATGTATTCGAGGTCCTTTGGCTTGTGGAAGGGAGGATGGCGTGTTGATGGGTCGAGTCGAGGGAGACCAAAGTCGATGGGAGATGTTGGAGGGATACTGGAGGTGGAAAATTTCGTAGGTCAAGTCAAGATTGGAGGGAGGAGAGGAAACAAAGAGTCTTGTACGAGGAAGGAAGGTGTTTATTGTACCCCGTGTGGATTGTGTGAGTGTGTCAGTGACTGATCCGACCAAGCCACTACCACGGCCCAATGCCGGCTGGCTGCGGCCGAAGGTCAGTTCCGTCACTTGTTCGACGGACCCCCCTGGTCACGCCGGCCCCATGCCGTCCTTACCATCATGGTAATGCTCTCGCCCTCGCCCTCGCCCTTGCCATCAGCCAGCACGCATGCCCATGCCCATGTCCATGTCCATGCCCATGCTGACGTCTGAGCAGGGAAGAGACAGGTGACCGTGACTCGAACGCCAATGCTTACTGCTACCGGTGCTCGTTGGCATGGAAGATAGTAGGATGAGTACAGGTACAGGTGAGGAGTGGGTCGCTTGGCGTCGACGGCAGGGCGCGGCTGATAACAGTCTCTGACAATAGGGCGCCGAGAGAGCCCTGCGAGTTTTTGCAGTCCGAGATCCACATTGCCATGTCGTGGAGGGGGCGGGGCGGAGGGGTATCCGGAACCCGATGGAGGGATGGATGAATGAGTGGATGACGGCGATGGCGAAGGTGAAGGCGATGAACAGGAAAAAATTGCAGAACCTCCTTCCCAGGTTAGATGCCTAAGGTACAGTTTTCAAGTAAGGTAGGCCAGCAAATTGGTGGCCTCTACCAGTTGCCAGCCTACATCTGAGGTGGTACCGGATGTTCCCCACTGCCGTCTAGGAGCCTTGCCTCTCGCTCTTCTTGTCCGCTCACGTCGATGCGTAAATGGATCTAGATGGGGACTGCCGCTTCGGTAGCACAGCATTGAGAAGAACGCTCCCTAATCCGCATGGGGCCTTGTCTCTTGCCCCTTTTCTCTGGTCTGCCACCGCCGCTCCCGCTCCACACCGCCCGTTGTGCTCACCTGCTGAAGGGCACCTGCTGAAGGGCACCTGCTGAAGGGCACCTGCTGAAGGGCACCTGCTGAAGGGCACCTGCTGAAGGACAAATCGCAGCCAACAATCGACGGCGTTCGAAACCCCTCGGTCCCCTCAACACCCAATCGGACGGATCGTGTGTGTGTCGCATGACCCGACCAAGCGGCCAACAAGCGCGTGCGCACGGCAGGTTGATAACGACGAAAAAAATGAACACCGGGGAACTACCATGTATCATCATCTTTCCCCCCCCCGACGCGGAACCAACCCCTCGCCGTGGGTAGCCGCAGCTAGGCGGGCAGTAGCGCAGTCGTTGAGTGTGCGGAGGTCCATCAGCGGCCGGTGTGGGTCCGCACACGATGCCTCCTTCCTTACCTTCCAAGCCTTCCAGAAGCCTCCTTCTATTGCTTTCCTCTGCTCCTGCGCCTGCTGTGTTTCCACTACTTGCTACCACCACCGACTGCCCGATTGGGGAGGCCAGATGAAGCATCGTCACCCGAGTACTTACTTACCTTATCAAGCTGTAGGTACTTACCTACCTCTTAAGGTACCTCCCTAAGACATGAGCGGCTAGCTCCCTAATACGGCAGGCTGCCGTTGATGCTCCCAGTGCCGATCTGACACGGCTTGGTCTCGATCCAACTCACGCCATCCACGTGCAATCAGGTCCCCATCTAGAAGGTGCCCTTGAACCTGTGGGTGGCACAGCATGAGTGGCTCACTCTGTCTCCCACTCTACCTATCCAGGTGCACGGGTGTCTTGGCATGCCAAGCACAGGTGATGGACCAGGCTGGCCACGGGAGGGCATTACTGATCGTCAGTACAGCATATACACATGAACGCGCAATCTTTGAATCCATCACCGTGTTGGGCAAGCAGGAGTTGCTTGAGCGCCTCGGGCCGGACCTCTCGTCAATGCCGATGCTAAAGTCAACGTCTTGTCGGAGATTTAGCTCGTATGACTCAACTGAGCAGGCTTTGTTCGTTGACTTGCCTGCTCGAGTCCTCATCACCAAGTAGCCGGATGCATGCGAGCCCACCGACGACAGCAAACTGATTGACCTGATACGACTCTAGCTGTATCAGACCACAGAGCACTCGAGCGGCTGCGTCTATGAGGTCCTCAGAAGTCAGTATATTAAGAGAGTCTTCTAGGGAAGTAAGTGGTGGGAAAATGGTGCGAGATTAGCCAACGTAACGAGCAACTTGCACGACGATACTCGCCGTTGTGTTTTTGGACCTTTTGTAGAACTTACTTATGGGGTGTTCTCAAAACACGAAACGGTCATGGTGTATGAAGGGGAAGGGAGAGATGACTTCCACGCCGTTTCTTCGTGGCTGCGCTCGCGTTCGATTGCGGCTTCAAGTCTTCTGGTGTGAGGCGCATGCTTGTTGCCTTTCTGTTCATAACATTCGATGGGCGGCAGATGAACAGGCTGAAAGGGACACAGAGAACGAATCATTCGAGCTCGACGGCGAGAACAGAGCATGGCCGAGACAAGGGGCAAAGTCTTTGAATGAAATGGGTCCTTGACAGTCTTTTTCTGTCTGAAATACAAAGATGATGAACAATTCGACTGTCTCTTTCAGTCCAACGAATCCCATCGCTCTGTCAGATATCGTCAAACACTTCAACAACCGCGGTATTCCTTGCGTGGCATGGGGAGGCTCTGCCCTGGACCACTTTGGGATCCGTGGCAGTTCCACGATAATCCCTGTACCCCTCGACTGCTATGTTTTTGCTTCCCATTTAGTCAGAGCTGATCATATTTATAGGGCCATCATATTGTCGTCCCCGACGACGTGGCGGAGGAGGCGAAGGAGGTCCTCCAAACACACCCCTTTCTCCGCCCCTGTCCCCCCGAAGACGACCGGGGGGGGGGGGGGGGGTGCCTCCACCGGGGAAATCAGGATTAAAAACCTAACCTCCTCCCCCATAGGGACTACGGGGGTTGTCCCCCACCCTCCCAATGTATCAGCAGTCCCAAGTCCTGGGGGGGCATGCCTCCCACCCCCCCCCAGTTCCCCCAACCCCGTGGGGGGTTGGCCTTTTTCCGAAGATTTTTTACCCCGACAAATCGGGACTGCCTGGATCGGTCCCCTCCCGTTCAGGAGGCTGGCAGAGTCAGGAAATACATCCCGTCATTATTCATAGGTTCCACTACTATGTTGAGTTGGTCATGAGTGTCTTGGCCCGCCACACGGGCTTTCAATCATCTTCACACTCTGCGTTGGCTTTGGAGCTCTCCGCACGTGCCCTTGATCTGGGTCGGAATGACGCGAAACGGATGGATCCGGTCTTCTACGACCTGTGGGATAAAGCTCACCGCATAGAGGGCCGTAACTTGCTCCCGATTTACCATGAATTCACGGTGGCGCTGGGCGAGGTCTGGGACCCCAATCGACCAGATTTCTAGGGGCGCCTCTATTTCTGCTCTCAATACGAAGAAGCTAGCGTAGTCAATGGCAAGGCATTGCCCCTCTCTCCAAAGAAGTGAGTGGTAAGGGCGTAGCAAGCTTGACTCACACGCAACACACCACAGCCATTACCATGAGAGACCGCTGCACAGTCTTCACACATCAAAGAATAAAATCCCACACAGTCTTTACCTAAACAATATGATCAGAAAGTAGGCGTCCGTGATATGGGGACTAATGCTGCAAAATGTGAGCATAGCATACAATGTATCTACTTCTGGATCATACCATCAATAGCCCGCCCTAGAAAGCCAATTTCCATCTAATGTCGCCCACCGGCACGAGATGGTGATTGTCTTGCGTTGAAAAAGGGTACATGACCAAAGTTTTCGAGGGACCTTTAGGGTGCAAATCTGAAAGGTCGGTGGATGTGTCCCTTGCATACAACAGCCAGCCATCTAACTTGTGAACAGATCTTGGCGTTGTCTGACGCTTGAACGTTCTCAGTCTCAATCTAAGATGCAGAGCTTGACAGGCAATGAATACAAGTTTGAATGGCAACTTGAAGATGCTGATATGAATTAAACGTTTAGCGAGGGCGAGTGACCCGTGTTTTGTTGTTTCTGCGGTGCGTCATCAGTCCTCTCCGGACAACTTCTTTCCAGACCCGCTCGGTGTGGAACCTGTTGAAGGCCGTTCCCGTTGAAGGGCTCAACCAAGGGGCGCCCATGCCGTACCCCAAACCATGTTTAAATGGTTCATCTTAGCAGGCTGTGAAACAACCTGCTGTTGGCATCTGCCGTGGTTGAATTGTGCGTGCTCATCTGCAACATCGCCTGGCCATTTAGGCTCGGGTTTCATGTGCTCATGCGTCAGCGCGCTGAGCTTCCTTCTCCTGCTGTTCTTCCTCCAGCAACTCGCGTTCTCGAGCTGCTGCTTCCATCTCAGCTTTGACACCCTTCTTGCGCTGCCGGGCCTCATATAGATCTCTACTCTTCATGATGCGTTGTACGATAGTGCCGGCGTTGACTTCAGAGAATTCGTGCGCGCCAATTTCTTTCATGATGCCCACTTCTCTTGCTGCCGTGTACGGGTCATATGTCAGGGGCATGAACGCAGTTGGACCGTGGTACAGGGCATCCGGCGTGCCCCATGGCAGCGAGGTCAGATATGTCTTGGTGGGCGTGAACGGCGCCCCAAAGACCACGGCGTTGACGTACTAGGGACGCTTGTCAGCAAATGATCTTCCAGGTGAAGAGAATGCATCGGAAGAGAATGCGGCTTACTCGACACTGCAAGACGCACAACCCCCGTTCGTAGAGGTTCATGATTGGGTAGTTGATGCCTTTCCAGTGGTTGATGACCTCGTCGTCGTGTATTCCGGCAACAACATAGACGGGTGGGTAGTCGCCCCCTTTGCCGATACGCTCATTCGTGGCCTGCTCCGAGTACCAGCCGTCTGCGCGGGCGAGATCTTCCTCAGCCTTCCATACGAGA